GGCCATCCACCAGCCCTCAGATGGAGAATCAACAGCACCCAGGTATGGAGGTGGCTGATGAGGAAGAGGAGGAATAGCTGGGTCCGGTGCCTGATGCGCGGATGCGCAGAAGGCAAAGGAAAGGAAAACAGTGGAAATCTATGGACCGATCCTTGGGACGGAAGAGCCACCACTGCTACAAAGCCCCACCCTAGCTCTGGCAATAAAAGGCAGGGGGCGGAGATGAATAGATGTGGCAGACAACTATTCATCTCCCTGCCAGACAGACCTGTGGTGAGAGATGGGGCTGCTGGGGCTCCTAATAAAGGAATCTTTGAGTTAACTTCAGGTTGGTCATGTTTGGGGAACTGGGTCAGAACAGCTACTTCTGAAGCTCCACAAAGGCTGTGCAGAGAATATCTCTAGTTTCCAAGTGAATAACTTTCTTAATAAATAGTTAATGCAGCTGATATTAGCTGTTTACATGAGCTTGAATGTCTTGTTCTAATAAATCAGTAGAAGCTCAAATTAAACAAAGTGTAATTAAGTTAATACAACCAACTTCTTCTTTTTTTGTGCATACGGGACAATTTTTTACTCAGGCACATTTTTTCCCTTTCTTTTTCCTGTTTAACTTTTTATTGCTAGCTTATTAACTTTGTGGCTATGGTAATCTGCATTTATGCATTTATAGCTTTCAATTAATTGTGCCAATTAATATAAATTATAATTAAATCAGTTTCAAAGAATGCTATCTTCTGTATTAATTGACTGCATAAAAGAGTTCCAAATAACTTCAGATACTTTGCTTATGCTGAGAAAGCAACAAAACATTACCGTATTTATTTACCAGAAAGATGTAGATTGGTTAAAAAAAATGTTTCCAAATATTTTTTATATAGTTCTTGGGTATATTTGATTTGGATGCTATGAAACGTAGACAAAATATGCTAGATGCTCATGCAATTGGTAGTAAGCTGAGAATAAACATATTTTAACATGCCTCATACTTTCCTGGAGATTGTTCCATATTATTATTTTGACCATAATAGCCATTTAAAAAAACAACAATAATGCTATTGGATGAAACAGATATGTGCTGAATTCTCTGAAGCAGATGCAAGTACACATTGGACTAGGCTACATGAGCATTCAGCATCTCTTAATCTTACTTAACAGAAATATTTAGCAGAACAATAAGAGTTGGAAGGGACCTTGGAAGTCTTCCAGTCCAACCCCCTGCTTGACCAGGCAACCATTTCAGACAAGTTATTCAGATTTGAATAATGTCAAATGCATGGTCCTTAACCAACACAGCCTTAGAGTAATGTATTAGACCAGGGGTGTCAAACTCAAGGCTCGCAGGCTGAATCCGCCCCACAGGGTGCTTAGATCTGGCCCATGAGGCCACCCTGGAAGCAGTGAAGAACCATCCCGTGGTGCTTCTGTCAGTGAAAATGGAGCTCGGGAGGGCTGCGGGCGGCCCTTCCGGACTCCACTTTTGCTGGCAGAGGGCTGCAGGAGGCTGTCACAGCTGGAAACAGAGCTCAGGAGCCCGTTTTCACTGGCAGAGTGCTTGGGCCACCACAGGTGCCCCGGACACGAGTGATGTTGAGCTCACCACACCTATCCTGGCCACGCCTACCCACATACCCCTGTCCCCCTAGGTCAAACACAACCCTGATGCGCCCCTCAATGAAATCGAGTTTGACACCCCTGCATTAGACAAAGAGAGATGATGGAAAGTAGAAATTATATAGAAGAAATCTAATCTAGAGAATATAAAGCCCTTCATGGTACAGTATAGGACCGGGCCTTGTAAAGTACTTGTCACTTATTGATTCTATCCATCCCATGAGATCCAAGAGGGTGGACATGGCCTGAATCCCCTCTATAAAACAATCATGTGGTGGACCCAGGAGACATGCTCTTGTAGTAGTACCTACCCACTGGAATACTGTAGTCTTCCCATTAAGATTTGAATGGTCCTGATGGCATTGGCCATTGGTCTTGAAGGCCTTGATTTTTCCCCAGAGAGGGGCTACATGCCAGATGAGCCCATCTATGGTGATTTTAAACTTGATTTGACTGTGAGGTCAGTCTTTGTTATGTTACTTTTCTTTTGTGTTGTTTTTAATCTGTTGGTTTTAATACTCAAATGTGTACATTGGGTGTCATATAAATTGATTGTAAATGCAAGCACTTCAAGTTCTATTCTGCTCTTCTGCTTCATGGCACTCAGGGCAGCTTTCAAGAATAAAATTACAATTGAAACAATAGTGTTAATAATCAATAAAACATGATTGATCCGATTGCACGTAAGATACTGCTTGACAAAAATTTTCAAGAGTTGAATTCTCCTTGGTAAGCATTCGAAGGGACATCCCAGTGAGGGGCAGGTACAACAGCAAAATGGCAGGATGAACAAACCTTATTTATGTTGACAGCAGCGGTGGGTTTCACATTGTGTTACCACCGGTTCCCGCTCACTTCATGGGTCCATGTGCCACTTCCACACATGCACTCGGTTTTCAACGCATGAGCTTTGCTCTCTCTTGCGCCTTCCGTGCATGCTCAAAAATGTACCTAAATAGGACGGCATAGAGCCGGGGCAGGTGAGCAGGCCCACCCATGATTTCCGCTACTGGTTTGGCCGAACCTGTCCGAATTGACTGAATACCACCTCTGGTTGACAGGAATATTTTCTAACCACTCCCTCCCACTCTGTCTTCTCCTGATATGCCTGTGACTTTTTTTCTTTGAAGGATTTTTTTAAACAATCTGCTGAACAGATGTTATTGATGTACACTCACAATCACGTTGCTCTACTCTCTTGGATTCGCTGTCATTTTATACTGCCAAGAATGAATTTATGCTGGTCAATAGGGTTTCTTCCTCAATAACCCTGTCAACCAATGTAGCAAAAAACTGCTTTAATTTCATTCATTTGTAACAGTTTAATTTACGTATTCCCTGACTTCCCCTAATAAGTCTTTGAGTGCACTGCTGCTAACTTGGAAAATCTGCTTTGTTGTCTTTCCCTAGATGCATTTGCCACAACCTTTATTTCAAATGTTTTTTTAAAAAAGTGAAAGCATCCAAATTTGACACCAGAGCCCAATTAGAGATCTCCACTACAATGTTAGATCACCAAACCATTCAACTGAAGCATGGAACTGTTCTTACTTTCCATAAAAATGTTTATTTAATTCCTCTATAAATGGAACAGCTTTGGTATATTTCCTCAACTCAGCCAAGAATCCTTCAGAATAATGAACTAAACTTTACTTTCTAATTCAGGATCTTTCAGAAGCTCCTTCAGCTAGCAGCTGTCCAAGTTTTGTCCTAGTTTTGATGAAGTTAATATGTGAGATCACTGTGGATATGCTATTTTTTTATTCCCAAGGAATGTGGGTAAAGTGGGACTTCAACTGAGAAAAATTTAACTAGGACACAAGTGTTGCTCCTTGCTGATAGATCTGGAAACAAATCAAGAGTTACAAAAAGTGCCAAAGGATCTTCGACAGCTTACCGAACAGTAGAGGAATTCCATGGAGTACTGAAGACCTAAAAAGCATATCATAAAAATGTTCAGGAAGGTAATACCAACCAGACACATCATGGTTTGGGAAGATGCTTAACAAGAAAAATAGGCAAGTGTGTGTGTGTGTGTGTGTTTATCAGTGAGAACAATAGATTGATTGCTGGGAAAACTCTACCCATGACAAGCCAGGTTAAACTACGTGCTGATACAGAGCTAAAATTTTCACACTATAAAGAAAGAAGTCCCCAGTTCAAATATGATGTATGCGCAAAACTACATTATCTACTGGTAGTCACAAGAGGATGTTTCCTATCTTCATCCTCAGGTGCATTTTGATTCTACATAACAGTGTTATATTATTCAGTGGAATGGATCTAGTTTGAAAAAAGAGAAATGCCAACATTGCTGTCACGTTCAAAGCTATTGAAAACCCAGCTCTGCTTTTTCCTTCATGCTCTTGAGTTACCTGCTGAGTTGCTCTTGAAGTAGATCTAGCCTCTGCTCCACTTCGCCATAGTTGATTTCACTTTCTGTTTCAGAGATCCCCCAGGTGACAGGAGGTAATGCGGATGGACAAGAGGATTCTTGGTGACTTCTGCTCTGCTCTTCCTCCCAGGTTCTCCTGTCCCTGATATCTGCCAGTCAAATGAGAGTGAAGGTTAGCCTAACACAGATAGCCTATTTTATGCCTGTTTCTTATAGTTCTAATCCATGCGATATGAAGAGGTTGCTTATCTGTTACTGTAGTCTTTCGTTTGCCACCAGCACACTCCCCCATAAGGCTAATTTCCCGGTGCAGAAGCCACTCTTAGAATTTTGCAGAGCTAAAGCGAGTTTTGAAAAGGAAAACACAATCCTTTATCCATATACTCCTGGGTTTATTATCCTGCCTTGCTCCCTCTGAATGGTTGAGATTCTCACAACATCTCAGATTACTTGCCATGGTAGGCATTTGATGTGGGGAAGGTGGATCGATTGTGTGAATGCACAGACTACCACACAAAAAACTATAGTTACATGATCTCTGGGCATCAGGCATTCTCAGTGAATTTGAGCAAGTTTATTGATAGAGATGCTGGGGCTAATTAAGGATGACAGACAACGACAGCCAGAATAGCTGGCTTGGGATTAAATATCCAGATATTAGCGGCTAATTGAGGTGGCAGTCTGGATCAGATTATTCTCCTACAGTGTTGCTGTATAGAGGGGCCTGCACAAAGCAGCTGATGCTAGAAGCACCTGAGCCGAGAGTGCCTGAATAACCACAGTTTAGGATAAACCCAGATAATATTGAGCAATGCTGCTACTAGAACTTTTGAATACATTTGCAAGTAAAGGGAATAAGGCAGGGGTGTCAAACTTGCATCATCACAGTGGCATCACGTGACATATCACAACTTTTCCCGCCTTCACTAAACCGGGCATGAGTGTGGCCAGCGTCTGATGCATCTGGCCCACAGGCCGCAAGTTTGACAGCCCTGGAATAAGGAATGGCTGTGAAGGACAATCATCGCGACCAAGACAATAATTAGATAAACAGGAATTGAGCTGGTTCCAAGAAACTAATTTGGGAAAACGTCTCAGACAAACCCTTTTTAGTTAGATGAAGATAAAGTGAGGGAGGGGGGAACATTCAGACTTGCCAAATTTTATAACAGTAAAAGTAATCTTGACCTATATGGTATTTGTTTCTTAGTCTGGTCTACTTTGTAGGGTGACAGTACTACAGAAGAAGCACCTACGGAAATAATAGGAAGCAGGGCACACCGTGTGTTGATTGGGGGAAATCTGGAAAAAAATAGTCAGATACTCACTGATTTGTCTTCCTAGGTTATTGATCGATCAACAGCAGTTGCCCAACAATGCAATTTTCAGCCTCAAGAAACAGATGTAAAATAATAGCTTTTCTTATTTATCTTTTTGCTCTGAATCAATTCCTTTGCATTATTTTCATTTCCAGGAAGGAAAAGGAATAGTACAAGGAAGGAAAATTTGAAATTCCCCAAACAAAATCCAACCATACTCTTTAGGTGTATGGCAGGTGGTTAGAGTGCAGTACTGCAGACTATTTCAGCTGAATGCTAGCTGCAGTTTGGCAGTTCAAATCTCATCAGGCTCAAGGTTGATTCAGTTTTCCATCCTTCTGAGGTGGGTAAAACGAGGACCCAAATTGTTGGGGGCAATATGCTGACTCTGTAAACCACCTAGAGAGAGCTATAAAGCAATATGATGCGGTATAGAAGTCTAAGTGCTAAGTGCCATTGCTATTAGTTATACTCTTTTCCACAGACTGTAATTTCCTAGGGTTGCGCTTGCTTTTATTCAGTAAAAGCACTTTATTTATACTTAAAAAAAACTGGTTTCTTTATATAAATATTTGCACATTGAGCTCTCAAGGTGCAGAGCCTTTTCCTTCTGTTCTCTTCACACCTTAAAAATATCATCAGAAAACAAATGAAAAACAAGATTGAAATAAAAATGCTCAACAAGATTAACATCATCAAGAGCTGATCCTATCTGACCTGCAAATACCTGAATAAGTCCTAGATAACAGCAAAAGGTACAAAAAAATTCTCTGCTGCCATCTATGGTCAAGAAGTAGAAGTCATGTCATCAAAAAACCCGTTAGCTTCATGGACTGTTCTAAACCAAGTAAAGTAACTGTAAGCAACCAGGCCTTTCAGACTTTTTTAAAAGCAATTACGAAGAGTCTTAGGTACACATATCAAAAGCAGGCCCTTCTATAATAGTAGCAGTAGTCAGCATATTACCTCCAACAATCTGGATCCTCATTTTACCCACCTTGGAAGGATGGAAGGCTGAGTCAACCCTGAGCCTGGTGAGATTTGAACTGTCAAATTGCAGTTAGCTGGCAGTCAGCAGAAGTAGCCTGCAGTACTGCACTCTAACCACTGCGCCACCATGACTCATCTCAAAATAGCCCTTGGGATTAAGTTTATCACATTTTAGTAGTTAATTTCTTCCAGCCTTAGAGTATTTCAACAGATTCGGTATTCTCTTCAATTGAACTGCCAAATTGCAGCTAGCAGTCAGTACTGCACTCTAACCANGGAACTGGATGGGTGGAACTGCCAGCATGGCAGTGGAAGATTGGACCATGTGATGGACTTGTTGGTGTGGGGCAAGATCATGAACTTTCAACTTGGTGGGGAAAACTCAGGAAGCTCAGATTTGGGTTTCCACAGAGGTGCCAACATGACTCTCTTAATAAATTGGAACTTTGAGCAATACTTTGCCTTCGACTCTGATTTAATTTTGGATGTTATTTGGAACCATGACATTAACCTGAATCTCCCTTAAAATATGTCACCAGCTACCCTTGCACGGGGTGCTGGGAGGGGTGCTGACTCCCATCACTGACCCGACCCGGGTCAGTATCAGTGAAGATGAAGATAGAGTCCATGTAATAGAAGCAGATGACTGGTCACTTTTCTGCAAACCTTCCAAAGTTGCAAAGGAATCTGTGGAGGAGGAAAACTGGACATTTATGGCTTCTGGAGACATGCGGTCAGAGCTGGGTGGGTGTTGAAAAGGCTATTTCAACACGGCTGGAGAGGACAAAAGCAATCACCCAGTAGCCGACCTGATGATTGGAGCCTCCCAGACCAACTTGTGCAGCCAAACGTGAATGAACCCACCCTCCTTCCCTAGCAAAGGCTCTGCACCATACTGGAGTGGAGATTTTTACTCCTTCCACACAGCGATAAGTGAAATGACCCATTATCCTGCAGCTGAGCCACAGACAGATCCCCCATCAACATGGGGAAATCAATCTAGCCAGCAGAAAGAGGCTTGGGCAACATGTCTCCCTAGCCAGCCACCGATGTTTGGGCTGCAGCCTGTGAATCAAGCATCACCGGGATGGGCTTTCTTCCCAGGTCATGGATGGGAAAGATACCAGTGGGCGTCTCCCTTCCCTCAGCAGATGGCACCATGTCAAATAATTGGGCAGGGGACAACCCAGAGATTGACCCCCCCAATTGAGTCCAGTCCCACCTGCAATGCCCCAACAGGCTCTTACTCCACCTTCCAACAGAGAAATGTTCTCGACAAAGGCAGAAGGGATGAATGAGGAGGAAGCTGCAGGATGGATAGTGGAACAACATGACAAGGCGGTTCCTAAGTTTAGAGATACAAATGGGTTCCTTCCCTCAAGGGGGGAGGGGCAATAAATGCCACCATTGCTGTCAACTTGGCCACAGAGTGTCAGAGTGTCTGGCTCCACCCCCAATCTCACAAACGCACGCACCAACTGCCAGTGCAGTAAAGAGAAGGCCCCAGAAGCCACCAGAAAAGAGTCATCTGGGTCAACAATCTCTGAAAGCTGATCCCCAACCTAAGGTGATGAAAAGTCCAACCAATGGAGAAACCTCAGAGGAAGAGAATAGTGTAGGTGACCCGAAGGTGAGTGCACCCGTCTATCCCTTTGCCATCCAAGCCAAGCTCCAAGTATCCGAAATGGGGGTGAAAGGGGAAGTTGAAGCAGTCGTGGACACCCGATGCTAAATCAGTATGTTGAAGGTAAAGCAACTAGGCATACGCACAAGACCTCTAGCCCATCCCATTTGGGTTGAGCAGGTAGATGGAATGCTAGTTGGGGGGACCCCGGCCACGCTAATGACCAAACTGGTAAAGTTACAAGTAGGCCGCCACTATGAGCTCCTCAGATTCATCAAAGATGCCAGAATTAATTATCTTGGGGCTTGCATGGCTTGACAAGTGAACACCTATGATAAAGTGGGAAGACGGTGGTAGGAAATTGATTATCACATTTGGGCCGCTACCACCTGTGGAGCCAAAGGGCCAACCAGGGATGATTGAACCCAAGAGCCCAGAACCTGCAGCACCTGCAGCAGAGACAAAACCCCTAAGTATCCAACAAGCAAAAAAAATGGTGGTGGATATTTTGTCGAGAAAACCGCAGTACGACAGTAAAAAGGAAGAAGTTGTTCACCCCATCCTTTCATCCTCCCACTAAAAGGTGGCCCAAGTGACCACCCGAAGCCAGGATAAGCTGATGACAGTGATGAAATTGGCAGTCCCAGAAGACCTGTGCCTCAACAATAACAAGGATATCCTAACAATGAAAGATGGCTTAGCCTGGAAGGGGTCCAAACTGTAGGTCCCTGCGGGGTTGAGGCTGGAAGTTCTACAGTGAAGCCATGATGCAAAACTAGGAGGCCACTTTGGATTCCTAAAAACACTCCACCTCGCCAGGCATCAATTTTGGTGGCCAAAGATGAAATTGGAGGTGGAAGATTATGTAAAAAGCTGTGTGACTTGCACAATGATGAAAACACGGCCGGGGAAGCCCCATGGGCTACTACAACAAGTGGCCAGCCCTAGCCGACCATGGGAAGAGATCACAATGGACTTCATCATCAAGCTCCCAGACAGCAGCGGGAATAGAGTAATCTGGGGTTATTGATTTGGTTTCCAAGCAGGCACATTGGATGTTATTTGGAACCCTGACAACTAGTTTGATAAAAAGGACATTGTAGGAGGGGGGGGAGACATATCTCACTGTAGGAGTATTCCAATATCTCAGGGACTGCTACAAAGAAGAGGGAATTAAACCATTTTCAAAAGCACCTGAGGGCAGGACAAGAAGCAA